CCACTAGTGGATGAGTTGTGTTTCATGAAAGTTTTTAGAAGATCTACCCATAAAATCTTAGGTGAATGTCATGCAAGCATAATTGTCCTTCAAACATTGAATCTTAATTCGGAATCTAAAAAAATCAAATGATCAAGTCAATCACGTTTAAAATATTATTCTCATATCTATGCATGTCTCTAGATCAATTTATACATTTTTATCATCAACATAATTTAAGCATGCAACTCTTATCTTGCCATTACCTTCTTCCACTACTACAAGTAAAAGTAGTAAATCAAGATTTTCTTTTCTTAAATTTTTTTTTAGTATTCCAATTTTTCTTTAAGGCATTTAACAATTCTTCCCTAAGTAAATACTCATCTTTTTACATGATTACTAACATTTATGATAAAAGCAACATGTTACTTAGCAAGTCATAAACTTAGAGTGCTTTGCTTACTCATGATTCAAGTTGTCGTCTAACGTAACAATAAACATTGGTGATGAATACCCCTAGTTACTAAGCAATTTAAAAAATTGGAGTAGATTTACAATTCACTCAATATGGCCAAAATTTCAATTTGGAATGCTTTCTTTTTTCTTTCTCAAAGTTCAATCCTTCACTAGAAAATCTCATTTTATTTAAACCATGCTTAGGCCTAGTTTCAAAGGGTAATTTCAAAACAAACCTTACAGCAAAAATCATGCTCAATAAAAAAGAAATAAAATTTTCTAATATGCATGCATTTCTATAAGGGTTATTATACCATAAAAGTACGAACCATACACCTTTTAATCTTTTTTGCACGTTCTTTTAAAAGTATATAAAAAATACATGAACTATGCTTTTGATAGTATAAAGCGCAATCCAACTTTTATACTACAATGCATTTTTAAAAGGGTAAATTACTAAAAACACTTTGTATTTAGGTGGCAAGAACATTACTGCACCTTTATTTTCTAAATATTACACTTCACATCCCAAGGTTTTAACATGCGTATGAAAAAATACCCTTTATTGTAATTTCTTTTAGGGTTTCAAAATTCCAGGTAAAAAAAAAAATCCATTTTTGTACAAATTTGCCATCATATTTTTAAATGGCCATAATGCCTTTAGGAAGCATTTCGGTCTTAACCCAAAAAAAAACCTATTTGAGATTGTAAAATAACAATTTTTTTACCGATGGAAGTGGTCTATAAAATGCCAAAAAAAAAAAAACCACCCTAACATATGTAAATCTAAACATCTAACATCAAAAACCTAATTCAAATCACCGAAATCTAATCTTAAACATCAAAATTCATATCAAAACAACAAAAACTTCAAAGTAAAACACAATATTTGATGTTATTCAAATAAAAAACCTTAATTATTTTTCAATGTCTACATCATCGTACAATAATGAAATCTCTTCCTTTAACACTATCAATCAACTAATACAATATAGTTTCCAAAAAAAAAAAAAAAAGAGGAAAAGGAACTGTACTAATATCGCTATCTAAAAGTTATAAGATTGATGATAACAACAAAACGAATAAAATCTTTAGCTCATATCATAGCAAATCTAATCGTAATCTAATAATAAAAAAACTAAGAAAAAGTAAATATTCCGATTATCAAGATGAGGAATTTTACTATCGGAATCAAGGATCTCATAGATTAAGGTGGGTTGAGCGAGACTAGAATAAATTGAGTGGTTGCACTGCCATGTATAATGTGATCCTATATAGCTAGAGAATACCTGGAGGGATTGTGGGAAGTATACATCTTGAGCTTTGGTCTAGATATCAAGTGTTTGTAAAACTCCTCCTAATTTTGTAGTTATAAACCAATGAATTAAAAACTTCCCAACCCAAAGTCGGTATCACTTCGGTTTCTAGTAATAAGCTTGAAATCCAATTAGGTCTATCTTATCTAATTGCATATTTTTGAAGAACTTATTATTGAGTTCCATCCTAATCTTCTTCAGTTCCTCGTTCGTAGTGGTCGGTGACATCTAAGCCTCATAACATTCATTTGTCTTGAGTTGGCATTGAGCCTTTAACTTTTTTATCTTCTTTTCATACTTCGTTAAAGAGTTCATCCTTATAACTTTATTTTGCGGAACACATCAATTAAAAGCTAATTTTAAGCAAAAATTGGAAGTCTTCACTTCAAATTTCAGAATGCTACCCTTGAATACAAATTGCATCTAACTCGATCAAATGAAATTTTTTTCGAATTACAAATTAACCAATAATAAAACCTTAAAACCCATACGTTTTTATGTGTTTTGCTCGAAACAACCAATGAAATGATAAACATGTTTTTTCAAAGAAAAAATTAAACATTTAAAAAATTATGATTCTTCAAGAATTTTAATCACGGATTAAAAATTCTTCAAAACACCAAATTTCTTAATGGGTTTTGCTTGCAATTAGATAATTGTTATGTTAATTCCAAGGTTTATGGATTAAACACATTTGGTTCCAAAAAAAAAGTTTAGGTTACATTTTGCATATCCGAATCAACCTTGAAATCATCCTCCAATCGTCTTTAAATCAACCAAATACTACCACAACGAATGATAAATCAACAAAAACGCACACTAAAATACTTCGATTATAATCGATTTATCGGTTTTAGATCAATGTTCTATAGGTTTCTCTCTCTTCGAAGAGAGAGAGACAAATAGGAGAGAGAAAATGTCGTGAGGGAAAATGGATGGTTTATACTGAGCATACATATGGGGTTTAAATAGATATAAAGGTCTTGTTGCCATTTTCTTGTTCATCGAACCGAAAATACATCGTTAAAAAAAGATGATGTAAAATGTAATGTTTAGAAAATAAGGGTGTAAAGCATTCCCGCCATGTAAATACATGGTATTTTAGTAATTTATCTTTATTTAAAAATCTTAAAGCACATTGAAATGCTTAACATGATATTTGATCAATTTCCCTTGCTATTTAGTTATGTTATATATTAATAAAAAAAATTCAATATTGAATTTTATTCCGAAGCTTATAACATGAGTTTTCATTTGATTTAAGTTAAAATAAATAGCAACAAATATGTCACGAGATATTTTCATTCAAAATTTTTAGTTAAAGAAAACTTTTATAATCCCTTTTTGAATCGTAAATGCATTTGCATTTTGATTAAAAGCTAATTTTTGTCGTGTATGGATAAGAACAAAACACTTAGCACATATGTCATGCCAACGAATGAGAAAAACTTAAGAATATTGCTTGTGTGTCATTAATTAAGCAAAAAAAAAAAGTCGATGTGTGGCTCGATATTGAATCTTCTATTTTATATATTGTCTTACATTATCAATCAACACCACTTTTGCGGTGTTTGTTCTCTCCTCGCTTTCATACCCAAATGCAAAAGGGAGAAAAAATAGAATCATGTTTTGATTTTAACAAAAATAAAAGAAAAAAATTAAAACAAAGGAGACTATATGTTGAAGGTCTACAATGCAAAAGCAACGTTATGGGTATACAAGTCAATAAATCAACATATGGTTTGCCACATCTACAAATTTACAACCAATAGTATATGTTTTTTATATTGTACATTATCAAAAAAATAATTGTAGTCAATCTTATACTAATCAATCGAATATTGATTAATCCGTAATTAATACAATACTATTTGAAAATGAAAACAATTTTTTTGCTTAGAAATGAAATATTCCAAATATTTTTGAAATTTTTGCTAAATAATTTTTTTTATTCGATAGTAAAAAGTGTCTTTGAATCAATTTATATATCAATCGAGATCAAATTCTTTTTATAATGATTTTTAAGAACACATTCCCACATCGATCTAACACGAGTTAGATGGATTTAATAAACTATTTTATATGTTGATCATGACGTTTAAACCTATATATAATAGAAATTTAATCAATATATTTACCGTTTAACCAATTATCTCGTCTTTTGAAAGAAGAGATATAATTATGATTGAAGGTTAAACATAAGCTTAAGAGATTAGGTATGTTTAATCTAAGGCAACTACATATGTGTGGGATACGGTGACACACAAAATAAGATTATTTTCTTATTTACAAGGGTTGAGCTATTGCGTAATCCCCTACGGGTTCGTAATAACGGCTTCCAAATGCTATTGTGAAGGCACATGAGCGAATGGAGAGAAATTTTCTAATACTCGAGAAGTAACTAATGACATGTACAGTAGACTACTCCATGAATCTATTTGAAAGAAAGAGATAGACACAAAAAAAGGAAAGAGAAAAAAAATTAAACGAACGTAGAAATCTTCTTATTATTTTTTGTGGATCCGGATATAATTTTATATGTCTATCTCTCTCCTCTAACTGAATCTATGAAGTAATTATTATATATGTCATTAGTTACTTCTTTTGAGTATCATAAAATTTTCTAAAAATGTTGGATTTGGACATAGATTGGGCCTAAATGATGGGCAAGCCCAAATCCAAAGCACAAAATTTACTTATAAAACTGACTGGGACAGTCATAAAATAAATGTTAGTTCAGTTTTGAAGTTCGTGAAAGTGATCGAAGAGTGGGTGCGTAGTCACTGAAACTCTCTATCACATTGAAAACCAGAGAAGGAAGAACTCTGAAACTCTCAGCATCTCTCTTTGTAAAAACTCTCAGACCAAAGAAGACAACAATTCTACCGCATAGACCAGTGCATTTCCTGAACAAATTCAATGATCGGTCTTCGTGAGTGCAAGCTCGGCTTCATCAAAGCCTTGGACATGGGCACGCCATGGCCAGTTCGACCTTAAAAAGAAGCAATTAGTCCAGATCAGGAAACTTTGGTATTTTGGGTAGCTCCATCAATTTGTTGCCGCTTATTTTCTAACATCAAACATCCACAAACACTTTCAAGATTAAAAATAAAAGTTTTTATTTATATATCTCGAATGGGAAAAATAAAAAACACATTATGATCATGTATAAATAAAACTGAATCTTAATTTGTTCATAGTATGTGCTAATTCGTTGTTTTAGGCTGCTTTTTCTTGATCCTTTTTCCTTCAGCCGGCAGCGTCCACGTTGGTACAAGCCCCATGACATTCAACATCTGCAAGATCATTCTCAAATGCACTAACCAGGTTCTCAAAATAATTTTTGGTCACACTAGTCATATTTTTCAATTTCGCACAGTAATCCTGGAACTCTTGTGATGTAACTTCAACTGCAATAAAAGGTTGCAGTTCGTCCTCCACACAGTGATGTAACCTTTCTAAATTGGACTCTGCATCTCCTTGCAAGTGCTCAAAAAGAATTTTCTTAGCACCCTCATTCTCAGGTAAGTAGTAACCATATGCATAAGTCCATTTCAGAATTCGTCGGGCCTCGATGATCTGAAGCCAAGCATCGATTATGAAAGAAAGCTGAGTCACAGGTGTTAGATGTATGCCACTCAGCTTCTCAAGATGCTTTTCTTGCAGTTTGTCTAAATCAGCAATGGCTTTTCTCCTAGAGGATTCATTGGCAGCCCATCTTTCGTAATAGTGAGCGTATTTCTCTACCAATTTCTTCGCCATCTCTTTCTTCATCTCATCCTCATCATATTCCCCAGATTTCTTACCCGTCTCATACTTATTACAAGAATAATAATGTTTGTGATCCCGCCAATCGCCTAGGCAAAGCCAGCAAAATTCGTATTTGCAAGGTAGCCTACATGTCATATGCATACAGCCTTTGTTCTTCTCGATTGGAGTCCTGCATTTTGGACATGGCTTGGAATTAGCCAGTATCCAATTCACGTTCTCTGCCTCGTCGCTGTTTTTAATAGACCACTTTCTCACCGTTTCGCAGTTCACAGGACGGTGAGACTCCTCCAAGCAATTCCAGCAAAACCCATATGAGCAATCACACAAAACATCAAAACTTTCACTCTTATATTGATCAAACTCCACAGCAAACTTGCACCCAGGAGCAGGACACCACTTAATGGCTTCGCTCACTCCCACATAGGATCTAAAAAGGTGCCTCAAGTACTTGTCGTTATATTCATCACAAACCATTAAATTTATCACATCTTGATCGACAACAACTCGACAAGATGGTTCAGAGCATCTCAGCATCAAACACCCAGGACCATCATCAATACTTACTTGAAAATACCTTGACCAGCACTCATTACAAAAAGGATGACCACAAGAAAGGGAAGTAAATTCTTCAGAACTGTCGTAACATATCTTACAAGTAATTCTACCCTCAGAAGTATGGTCCATAGTAACTACCTCGTCATGCAACCAGCCAACAGCTTTACGTACCTCCTCTTCGTTACCAAACCATTCATCCTCTACTTTGCTAAAACTCCAACCATAGACACGAAGGAGGATGCTTGCTTCGTTCCTTGATATAGAGAGCACAGTTGAAATTCTCGTGATATCAGCCTCTTGACGTTGGCTAATATCTTCGTCCTTCAGTATGGTGCAACTTTTCTGACTGCGACCTGCAAAGTGGTTTGGATTCGAGTCAGTACCGATAACATCAGCATAGTTGTTGTAGTCATCGTAATCATCATCATAGTATGCATCCTCCTCGTAACCGTCATATGATGTATCATCAGGATCCATGTCTAAACTTTAGAGCTTAGCGAATTGAGAACCCTGAAGCTAGTTAAAGGAGAGATTTTATATGGAGCTTAAGGAAAGAGATCAGCAGGCACTTATATTATTTTATGGGTGAAGTCAGTTTTGGTTATGGACACAGATTAACAAAGGACACTGGCCGTTTTTAACATTAATGATAAAAGCTAGGCGGAGAAACTCTCCTTGTTCTTGTGGGATATTGATATGGGGTTTCGTGATCCTTCTCTTCTATAGAAAGGAAGATCCTTTGCCAAAACGGGAAAACAAATAAGAGACCAAAATTGTCTGCCCTATACCTGCTAGTTAGCCTAGGGCTTGCAGGGATACAAAGAGACTACTTATAGAACACCAAGTAATGCCAGTTAGCAAGTTGGACTTGAACTCTATTTTGTTGTTTCGGAAAAATACAACAAATTAATAATAATAATAATAATAATAATAATCATTATTCACAGATATTATAAATAATATATCATAAGAGCAAATATATACTTGGTTGTGTGAAGGATATATCTCAATAAATTAAATTTATTACCACAATAACTGGACTTAAGCTGCGTGTAAACCCGAATGAAACTTCGGAAGTGGAATTTGAAAGGGTTGTTGATATTAATTAATTATTTATCTGTTTTCAGAAAAAGAAAAAAAATTACAATGAAGAACACTAATTTCAGTTGAACTACAAACTCATTGGCGTAATGGTCGTAAATTTTCAGTAATAGAAATTCGTCAAGTCAAATCTGATCCAAGCACAAGCATTCGTCAAGGCATGATAAACACTCATATACAGTTGGGCGAAGCATTTGAATGTTAGTATATATTGCATGACTTAATTAATTACGATTTCAATATTTATGCGAACCTATAATCTCCAATGCACAAGCCTTTGATCAAATATAGCATAGCATAGGATTGATCGATCGGTTGCAACTAATCAAAAATATATGGAAGAGATTCCTCCAAAAGGTCCTTATCGTTCAAGTCGGGGCATATCAAGAAAAATTATCAAAGCCACGGCTGATTAATACTGCTTATTAAATCTCTGCAAACTATTTATAAGGATCACATAAAATTTCAAATGCCATCAAAATCATACTCGCAATTTCATTAAAAAATCTGGGATCTCAAATTGCCCAGCAGTACTGATGATGAAGACTTCTAGTCTGATCACTCACTGAATGACTTCAGAGCTCACAGAAAAATGCCTGCTTGTTATTTTTTGAGTAGCTACAGCTTAATAATTGGATGCTTGCCTCAGAGTGGTGGCATACTTAATTCACAGATGGAAGAGACTAGAGAGAGTGAAGCAAGCAAGTCCACAGAAGGAAATTGCTAGAAACACTGTGTTATTGTTGTGGGAGCAACCCTATAGCAGATTCTATTTCTAAGAACTCAAATCACATTACAACGCTAGCTCTAGAAAGGAGAAGAAAAAGGTGTATTTAAATGAACAACAACCTTTTTGTTGCAAACAACAGTCCTCAAGCCAAGTTGTAAACTCCGACAAAAGGCATCAAAACACTCCCCATCCACAGTTTCCCATCTTTCTCTTCCACTTCACTAATTGCTTTAACAACCTTTCCCTGGCTGTCCTCCAATATCTGCAAGATCTTACCTTCTGGGCTGTATTTGACAACTAAGGCATGGGGCCAGCCCCCTATTTGAAGCAGGTAATGAATCTTGATTGGAATCGGGAGCTTGAGCAGGAATGTCCTCAGCTTTGGGTATAGTGCATTTATGTAAGCATATAAGTTCCAACGACAATGGAATGCTACCCAAAAGTTACCTTCTTCATTTGTTCTGACGTTGTCAGGATATCCAGGTAAGATGGCTAGAACTTCTGAAGTTCTTGCTTTCTCACCTTTCAGCCAGTACTTGTGTAATCTGCATTCAGTTCGAAACTAAGGAACGAGAAACAGCTGAAAAGTAGAACAAAATCCACACTTGCTCCCAACTGATTATGGATTTCTCAGATGGCCATAAACATTTCATGATTCACTGGCAGCAGATTTTTTATTTTTTTATTTTTACTTTTGAATCGTAAAATACTGTTATTGCCATGCTGAAAATTTTGGACAATGGCCAATATATTTCCACCAAAATTGACTCCCTCTTTCTTTACCTTTATGTTGGGAAGACACTCGTTTCAAATGAAAAACCGTAATGGTAAAGCATGGCACATTATGATGTAATGTCTAGCAAACATTACTGCAGTGATCATTAAGGTGAAATCTTATTCAAATATCACAAAATAGGGGCACCTTCTTTTCTAGGAGCCCATAGCAATATGAAACCGATTTTTGGATCACAATGGTTGTCAGATTTTGTTCTTGAGTGGGCGTGTGCGTGGGCGTGTGTGTGTGTGTGTATGTGTGTGTCCTTCATAGTATTCAAGCCTAAATCAACAAGCAAAATTTGTTCTGTGTCTACTATACTCAAAAGCATGGTCATTGGTGAAGCACATAGAAAGCATCCTAGTAAAGGCAAGGCCAGAGCTAAAAACTTTTGTTTTCGGAAGCGCACAAGTAATATATGGTGTCTCTACTGAACTAAATCCATAGTGAGGTTGCTTATTAATAATCATTTTTATGTTACCATATAGAGTGTAGTTCAAAGAGTATAGCAAATAATCAACATCGACACATGCAGATATGCAAACATGATGTATGTATGATATGAGAGAATCATGATGTTGGTAATAGTTGTAAAGGGTGATAGACTTAAAAGACTTCAAGCATACATAAGTTCGGTTTGGTTAGTTACTTGATAATTCAACCATAGTTTAAGTTTTCTATAATAAATCTCAAAATTGACGCCGCATTGGGACATCAGTCCAAATTGACACCAAATCGGTACATCAGTCCAAATGACTCCCTTTCATTCATTTTCATTGGGGCAGTTACAAGTTTCAGGGGTTACCTCTAGAAGCTTCATATAGTCTACAAATTTTCTAACAGTCAGTTTGGATAATATAATGATAGATACCAGACAATGTTCCAACAAATATTTTGGACTTTGGATATCATAATGATGACACCAAATAAAGGTTTTAGTATTTTAGAATAACATGGATGAAAAGAGAAGCATGACTCACCTGCCTACAGGTCCTTCACAAAACACGAAGAAGGAATCATCCTTGCTTAGGGACACACCATTTGGAAATTGAAGATTCCTCACGAGGACAGTGGTTTCTTTTGAACTTGGATTGTACTTTAGAACCCTCCCACTGTTATCCCCAGAGAAAACCAACTGCATGAAGTTCCTGAAAGATACCCTAGTGTTAAAACCCATGCATAATAACCTCATACTGGCATTTAGCCAAAAAGAAGTAACATAAAACTGCTTCAATAGAGCACTGCTAGCACTAGAGTATCCCCATTTGCTAATCGTTCTAGTGTTTCATCTAGTGATTGTAGGCCAAGTTGTTCATCTGTTCAACCTTTTAGTTGTCATCAGAAGCAGTGTTCTATTTTTTTTTTTAACACAGCATGTAACCTTTTTCTTTTTTCCCTTTGGGAGCTTTAGGTGTGGAGTTTGCATCTGTGCAAGTTAAAGTTCAATAGTTTGTGCTAGGAACCACAGTACACCTTTAGCAGGCACCTTGATTTTCCTAGTGCGAAAAGCAAAAAAGGGAAACTGTACACAAGTAAAACCTTGGAAAGAGCTCAAATTTCTCAGTGTCTTTTAAAGGTCAACATAAGAAATTCATTTTGGAACTTTTTACAGCAAATTATTTTGTAGTTTGTACAGTACAGAAGATAGAAGCAAAGTTCTTAATAAATAGAAATCAGGGTCTACTGATAGTTTATAATATTTTAGCCATGCATTTAGTTAGAAAAAAAATTCACCACACAACAATTGACTGCAGAGAAACAAGCAAAAAGATATTACAAGAAACAAGAAATTCAAAATCCTTAGAAGCGTTCACTTATGAAACCCGACCAATCAATTAATCACTAAATCAATAAATGGAAGTCTGCACTTGTGTTTGTGGATGCATTTGCAAGTACATAACCATACATCAACACAAAATCACAGAATACAACCGCTCTTGACACTGATTTCCAGGCAATTGCCAACATGGTCACAGAAGGGAAAGCTGAATACAAGCCTCAAGTTTCTCATGGAAAAACAGCGGGAAGTTCAGTTTAAGCATGTGTACAGGGAAGTCAACTCATTCATTGACTGGCTTTCCAACTTTGGTGTAAATATGGAGCAGGGAATCACCCACCTTGCCAAACCTGCAGTGGGGCTTTGGCCTTTTTTATGGACTGAGCTTATAGGGATAGCCACCCCAAGAACTTGTACATTTTAGTTTATTGTGTTGCTGGTCCATTCACCCCTTATATTACCACCAAAATAGAAAAACAAGGAGTGGGAAAAAAAACCACACAATCACAGATAGGGTCATGCTCTAGTTTAAATAAATTGGACACCCCTCTTTTGAGGAGATATTTTCTTCTCAACTGCATTCTTCTCTTTGCATTCCAGCTCAAATGGCTTTTTAATGTCCCTTCTTTAATGTCTTTGATATGGCAACAAGAGAAATCCCGAATGTAATGTTTCATGTGCTTTGATGGATGCGATAAAATGCTCATGCAATTGTTATATAATAAGCATGTCAGCATTCTGTTCCACACACAAAAGGGGAATAAAGAAACACTAACTTTTCCCAATGAATTATTAGTAAAAAGAGAACTACTATCAAAAGCCTACCTTCTCTGGTATGCTGTACTGCTATCTGTGAAGTACACGTTCCCTTCGTCATCAATGTCTAGATCATTGGTAAACCGCAGAGGGACCCCTTCTGCCTCATTTGCAAGTGATGTTGCAAACCCACCTTCAGGCCCCACTTTCATCAGCCCAAAATATGCATCTGCGATGTATAAATCACCAGTTTTCTTGTCAAAGCGAAGCCCCAAAGGTCTGCCACAGATGTGCTCATTCTTCAAATACTTCAGAGGAGATGGTTGCGGGTTACATAT